AGAATTTACGGAATGTTTCTTCTCTAGTTATGCTAGATCAAGAATAAAAGTGTTAAGACAATTTTACTTGAAGTTTTGAAGTAAAAATGCATACCACAATTATTTGATCCACTACAGGACTACGGACCTCGGTAGCATTTAATTAAAGCACTTCAAAAGTGGACGGGTATTCTAGAATTGCTCCATCAATACGGACATCCATGAGGGTAACTGGAAATCAGTGGAGAGCCCTATCACATGAGCTTTCCATATTGCGCTCTAAATGAGAGAAGAGATAACAGCACCGCTGAAACTGACCTAATCACCGGTACAGAATATGTGAACTTAAATTAAGCTTATATCATATCAGTATTGCAATCTGCATGATACTGTTGACTGATTTATTGACTGATCAACAATTTCCAGAGTGGTTCTTTCAATTCAATTAACTGTTTGACCAACTGACTCCGTAACCGACCAATAAATTGCTTGACTGTCTGGCAGAGTTTCTGACTAACTGGCTAATTGACTGACTGCTTAACTGTCTGTTTAACTTACTGGTTGATTTACTCATTTTAACAGGTAATAACTGACGCACTGACTGACTGTTCGACTTGTCTTATTTCCTGACCTACTGACTGACCAATTCACTGTTGACAATGTTGACTTACTTGTTGACTGACTGTCTCATTGACTGCCCAGCTCTTTAGTTTGCTGATTGACTGACTCATTGACAGACTACATTACTGACCTGTTGACGGACTGACCGTTTTACTGACTTACAGACTGACTGAGTGACTTTCTAATTGATTCACCAACTGGCTATAAATGGCTGACTTACAGTTGACTGACCAACCAACTGACTGACTTATTGATGGACTGGCTGACTGTCTAGCTGACTTGCTGACTGGTTGACCAGCTGAATCGCTGGGTTTCTGACTAACTGACTCATGGACGAACTGAATGAGTGGCTGACTTACTGGGGGACTGACTGGTTGACTTGCCAACTGACTGACTCATTGACTGATGGCTAAATGGCTGATATGTTGACTGACCAATTGACTTTCTGACTGACTGTGTCATTGACTGACTGAATGGCTGACTTGGTAAATGACTGCCTATAATTATATAATATTGACTAACTGACTGGCTCACTACTTTGTGAGTGACTATTTGACTCACTCACCAACTAACTCATGAAATGAGTGACAGAATGGCTGACTGGCTGAGCTGCTGACTGACTGGCTGACTGGCTCAATAACCGATTTACTAACAGTATGACTGAAAGACTTATTGACTGACTCAGGCTGGCTCATTGACTAATTGTTTTGACTGGCTGGCTCATGTCCTGAAATCATGCTAAGCAAAGAAATTAATAATGCCTTTTATGATGTAAATCAAGAGTATTGATTGCTGATGAAAATGACTGATTTTTCATTTCAAATCAGGTGTGTCATAACTTCAACAGCCAGGATTTTGGACTTATCCTCAGTACTTTAAGTACATGTATTGTATATAATTATTGCTTTGTCTCTGAGTATGTATAATTGTTGCTGATTGATTAACCAACTGACTGACTCACTTTCTTGCTGATTGACTGACTTGTTGACTGACAAAATGGCTGACTTGTTGTTGACCGATTTACTGATTTGTACTGACTTGTTTATCGACTGACCAACTGACATACTAACTGATTCATTGACTGACTGAATGACTGACATACAGTTGATTGACAAAATGTTACAGACTGATTGACTGATTATCTGACTTGCTTTACTGACTGAATGACAGGCTGTCTGACTTGCCAACTGACTGACTCATTGTCTGATGGCTAAATGGCTGATGTTTTGACTGACTGACTGTCCTTTACTGTACTGTGTCATTGACTGGCTGAATGGGTGACCTGCTGTGTGTAAATGACTTACTATATTATAATGTAATATTGACTAACTAACTGACTGGCTGACATGCTGAGTGAGTGACTAATTGACTCACTAACTAATAAATGACTGACAGGCTGGCTGACCTGCCAACTGACTGACCTACTAACTGACTGACTGGCTAACTTACTGAGTGGCTCAGTTACTGAGTGTGTGACTGGCTTATTGACTGACTGGCTGACTTGCTGATTGACTAACCTGATCAGCTGACTGACTGATTGAGTGGCTGACTTGCTGACTGACTTACCGACTAATTGGCTGGCTGACTGGCTCAATTACTTACTTACGGACAGTGTGACAGAAAGGACTGATTGACTTACTCAGGCTGGCTTATTGACTAATTGACTTGACTGGTTTTCTGATGTAGTGCAATAGAATTATTATGCTAAGGGGTGGACCATTAGAAAAGTGATTGGCAGTGGGGGCGGGGGGGGGTTGAGAAGTCAAAAAATAAAATTTCACCTGGAAATTATTAACCAAATATATTTCCACGGATTTTGGCCCAAAACAGTTCATCCCCAAGGAGGATCTGTGCAAGTAAGACTATTACAGATCAACTGTGAAGTGAATGACAAGCCCAGAGTGGGAATAAAACTTAATTTTTTTTTAATCTCAACATGACTCATGAGTAAAATTAATGTTGTAAAGGACTACCTTGATTGATACAGTTGTAGGCCAGACACCGAAATTGAAGAGTTCATAATTTAACATGCATTATTCACAAATCTTTACTGACCAAAAAAGTAGGAACTTTTTGGAATCAAAGTTATCCTGCGTTTTAATATATATTCACAAACCTCTTTGCAGTGAAGATATGTGCGTTCCACAACAATAATTAGTATTACACTGACTTTCTTTAATGACATGATGCATCAGTCAATTCCAACTGCGCCGGGACTATACAAATGGTTTAGACCAAAGCGTAGGCTGGCTGCAATGCAGGCTAGCCGATAGCTCCCGATTTCTCTATGTATTTCTGGCTTGATAAGCAATGAAGAACGCATGCTATGCATAAAATCGAGAACATGCCTTTACAACCCTATTCAATTTTTTCCTGTTCTTGACAGATGAGCCAATATGCATGTTTTCCCAGTAAAATGCTCTGTGTAGTTAGTATTCTGATAGGAAACCACGTGCATGTCAAACGCTTGGGAATAGCCTCGGGGATGGCAAATGCCTGGCGCCCAGGAAGAGCAAAATTTACAAATGCCCCTGACAAGGCAAGGCGGGCAAACGCCAACCCCTAGGCTTTTCCCAAGGAGAGCTTGCAACTACGTCTCTGGAATTTGAGTTCCACCTCCAACTCTTCCTTCTGTTATTCATGGATGGTTTGTTTATTGGGTTTTTGGTTGAGAAATGCGCCGCTTGTCACAGTCGAAAATCTAATTTTGGATGGCATCGTTTTTGTTTTCCACCTTGCTTGCTGCGTAAGAGGGTTGCATAGTCTAGAGCGATTCTGGCCTTACTTGATAGCTCTTTGCTTTTTAATTCTTATTTCATGAAGTCGAGCGTAGTTTAATTTCTGTGGCTTGTTTATGCACTTTTGTAAGATTTGAGACATTGATCTGGCCTCGTATCAGGTTTGATAAAAAGCCTTTCGACATTTTCTCACCGCAAATAGAAAGAAAACGTTCCAAAGAATATTCATTTATAGTTTTGGCTGTAAAAAGAAACCTTTGAGCGATTTTCTTGCCTCGAGTTCATCTGGAAAGAATGCAAACATCGGGAAGCCGGCTTAAGACATAAGCTTAAATAAGCTTTACTCGTTAAGACTCAGGATTTTAAGAAACACTTTAATACTTTTTTTCGTGAATGAAAATTGTTGTCTCTCTAAATGTTTTACCAAATTATATTTCTTTTACGGATTGATTGTTAGTAGTCTCTCTTGCAATGTTACTCTATTTTTAATCGCTCTACTGGTTGTTTTGGGTCGTACATGAACATTTCTTGCAGGAGTACTCAAAATTCCGCGCTTATCAAGCGCTTTTAAAGATTACACATAGTTGGAAAACCATAATCCAAAATAAAAAGCTAAAGCGTAACTCTATTAATGTTCATTCAAACACTCCGTTAATAGCTCGCACTGCAATTGGCGATGTCAAAAGTGAGAACCGGCTAGCCAGAAAAGTGATTTTGGAAATTTTTTAAACATTGTCGCTAAAAGCTTGGATACCACATAAGAGCAGATTGTTGTGACTGAACAGTCCCGAAATTATGGAATTCCGTCTTCATGAAAATGTGGTCAATTCTTTAATTTTTTGTGCAAAGGAAGCGCGTGCTTCGATCGTCCAGAATATTGAATGACTGCAATTATTTTGCAAAATTATGAAAAACTGCATTCTCTCCAAGGTCTGTGGTGTATGATAAAAAGAAGCGCCTCATAGTACTGTTTACCTCACATGGCTTCTTTACACGCCACCAGCTGGTAAGATTTTGTAAAGTGAACTTGTCGAACGCGAAAAAATCGGCCTGACTTTCTATTTTGGCCTTCCTTTTAGATAGAGGAATGCAACCTATAAATTACAACCTGTCAGTATTGGTTGCCGCCGTGTCTATCGTGTCTTCTAACAGGCCTGTATAGCATAAGGTTAAATTTCGGTGCTGTCCAATCAACCTTATAAAATAAAGGTGGTGTAGGTGGGCGACTGGCCTATTTCGTGTGGGAAGAATTTGTTTTCCAGGCCTAGTCTACTGTGATCAAGAGCCGTTATGCTCTTGATTGTGGTCGGAGACGATTGCTGTTTTTTTGGGTGTACATATAAGGCTATTAACTCGATTCACTCTTGGACTGTTTTCAAATTATTTTTCCCTAAAATCACTTAGCCTTTTCCTCAAAAGTCCCGTGAATGTGCCCTAAAGTTAACTGATTTGTTAAAAGTCAAAAATTGCTACAGTTTATTGCTTGATTTAAATTATTTTTTGTTAATGGGAGCTTCGCTTTTAGACTTGGATAAAATTATATGATGCTGAAGTGAAGCACCTGTTATCGTTAACTACACTAACTACGTTCACTACAGTCAACGTACCAAAACAGCCTCCATAATGTCAGAAGCTTAGGTGTATTTAACTGAAAGTTACTGAGTAGCGATAAAAAGTGTCCTTTATTCCTAGACTGAGTAATCTGAAAACTAGCCCTACGTTAACAGAGTGACAAGTCAGGTCGACTCACTTTGGAGTCATCACAAGAGAGTGTCGAGAGTTTCGCTGGTGCTGGGGCATTGATCATTGTAACATTCTTGGCTCTCATCTAACAGTGTAAAATCATAATATGGGGTATCAGCTGTCATCATTTGTTCAAGGGTTGGTATCATTTCGGTGAATGAGAGTCGTTCATTCGGATCATCCCTCCAGCAGTCCAGCATTAACTTGTATCTGTCGAGAAAAAATTATGCTGGTTTATGCTTCGTTCAAGTTACCCAATTATGACGCTAGCAAAAATTGTCGTCAAGCTACGACACGTAACTCTTTTTGAACTCTGATGATCACTGTTGTCGAATAGGCAATCACTGTTAACAACAATCTTTTCCATAAGACACTCACCTGAATGATCACGTTTCACCTAGTTACGAGACGAAATACTGCCATGTTTTGCCGAGAGAGATTACCTAAGATTTGGTTTTTACTTCAGCAAAACGAAATTTCCCTTGTGAGTAGTATAGAAGGGATGAAATTATCCATTTTAAAGCGGAACATTAGCAGGTAGTTCTTAACGTTTATGACGTCGAAGAAACGTTAATGAGTTAAGCCTGGTTCTTTCCTACCTCCGATCTACTTGCGTTGGCGTTATACTCGCCAGTTGCACCGATTTTTTTGTCGCAATCAAGTCGCATGAGTGCCTGCCAGAGAGTCATGATTGTCATGATAAAGTCAATCGAAGTATTTAACAGTTATTCCTCTCGCCCTCATGGGCTCTGAGTCAATAGCCCATGAGGCCGAAGGCTGAATGGGCTATTGACTCAGAGTCCATGAGGGCGAGAGGAATAATTGTTTTAGTAAAATCCAACTAATTGGTCAAAAATGTCAAGAATAAAAAAGTTTTAGCTACTTAAAGATAGAATTTAACCCTTATTTGCCGCCAAAAAGCCGGCGCTTTTCGCTACTAGTGGGCTATAACATATAGCCTAGTAGTAGCTCAACCAATCAGAACGCAGCATTGATAATGGACCACTAGTTGGATTTTATTACATTGTACTATACCCCTGGCGTTTCACCGATGAACTGAAAGAAGTGACCGAAAAAGCGGCCTTGTTATGAACGGTTTAAAGATGATCATGCCTATAGCTTAACAATGTTGTTTTTAAAAGATATTGTGTTTCTTGTTTCGTACATCTATTTTGCGAGTCATTTACAATAAGTTTACTTACATTTCATCACTGCAAGTGTTTGGTTGTTCCATGCGATACCCCTTCTTAAGGAGATTGTACAACTGGGCATGGTTGATTCTGGGGTAAGGAGTTCCCCCTAAAGTGTTCAATTTAAATATCATTGGGGAAGGTTTAGAGAACTTTTAAGCTAACATTACGTCTGTCAAGAGCTGTTAGTTATTGTGGCGCGTGACCATTGACTCACAACGTTGATAGTGATCTTGTACCCAGATCTCTCGTCGACGAAGCCGAGGGCGAGATCAGGTCAAGTAACAAAAGTTAAAAATAAAAAAGCTTTGACTATACTCTGTTCTGTTGTAAAGTACGCCAGAAGCAGCTAGAGCAGGAAAGAATAGGTGGGGAAACCGAGACCTAGTGGAGTGTTTCTCCCTAACTAAGTTCTCTTGCCGTTTCCTGCGTGCTTTCCAACAAAACAGAGCACAGTGTCAAGGCTTCTTTATTTGTTTCATTATAAAGAATCCGTTAAATTCCCCATGCATCACTTTTTAGTTTTCAAAACAAACTTTCGGCACATGGTGCGACACCTTTAGCTGTGTGTTTTATACTCTCATAAAGCATGCATTTGCAACCAAACAGAGTTTGCGTTATATCTGGACTTTAATATAAATCAGTGCGCCTGACCGGCGAGCACATGACGTACGGATTTGACCAGATCTCTCCTTCGGCTTCGTCGACGGGAGATCTGGATGCGAAATTACGTTTATAATAAAACAAACAAAGAAATGCAATGGACAATCATTGTAACTCTAACATCAGCATGATCAGTCAAAGCATTTAATATATCTTACCCATGGTAGCCATTTCCCACAAAACAACTCCGAAGGACCATCTAAAGAACAATGTGTGATCAAAACAAATAACCGGTAAAACATTTTAAAAATTATAATGAAAAAAAAAAAATTCGTATGAGAGGAAGAGAGAAATTGCTCTTGATTGCCTGCCAATCGTTACATCAATATTTGCATTTTTTCCAAATGTATACGGAAAGGTCAATAGTCTTATTGCATGCTAACAGTTCAGATCGGTATCTTGGTATGAACAAATTAACAGCCTGCTGACCACTTGCCGTGATTCTATTCATCACGAGGTTCTTAGCGAAGCATGCAGTGACAGAGAGTTTTACTCAGTGAAGGGTAGCCCCTTAAATGGTAGTCATGGGAGGACGGAGAGAAATACAGTAAATAAGCCATTTGCGTGGTGACGTCTTTTTACTTCTAAGACCAGAATTCATTTCCTTTTTTCTTTGGTATTTAAATTTGGTAAACCCAATGGAGTGTAAAAAAACAAATACCCATAATTTGCACATGAAAGCAAAACCCTGAAGGATTCTGGTAGTAGGTGTAAAATGACGCCATCCTGCAAGTGGCCTCTTGTGTATTTGGGAAAGACAGGTTTAAACACAGGCTCTAAAATCGTAAGCTAGGACGTATGCAATCTTCTTTTGGTTAGAGTAAATTCGATCCCAGACCCCTGCCTTTTAAAGAAAGGGATGGTAACTGATAATGGTACGTGTTAGCCATTAATGTTTTAGAACATCTATTAGGAGAGCTTTGATAAAGGAAAATGTCCAAAAAATGCCTATGGTGAACAATGCATAGGAAGGAAATGACCCATTAGTAGGTTTCTCTGTTTAAGTCTTGGTATTTGGCTCGTTCTTATACCTGTGTTGTAGGTGATAATAGCCCTAAGAAACCTTGCAAAAATTTTTTATTTAACTTACACGTCACTCTTGGAAGTAAAAATTCCAGTCTCCAATGAATCAGGTGCTGTCCATTTTATGGGCAGTTTCTTAACGGTTGCCACCTTGTATATCTCACTTTCACCTGTGCGGCGTAGCATACCAAAATCAGAAATCTTCACCGCTTTGTTTTCACCAAGTAAGATGTTACGGGCTGCCAGATCACAATGAACAAATCCTTTACTGGCCAAGTATTCCTAAAGGAAGTTTGATAAAAACTTAGTCTTTTCTAGCTACTTGTTAGCGCTTTGCCTGAACCCATTTCTTCACTGTAGCTGTTTATGTACTTCTTAGACAGATTTTGCCCGTTACCGTGGTTACCAGTTCTGACAAAACATAACAAGGTAAGGCCATTTTTTGAGTAGCTTTTTGCCCTTTTTGTGGGCAACAGATTATTTTAGCTGTGAAAGGTGTGAACCCAGGAGTCATTTCATAAGTAGTTTCAACCTTGATCGTTCGGGTGAACGAAGTCTTGAAAAGGACTGTTTTTGACAGTGACTGACGTTTCGACAACCTGTTCGGGAGTCATCTTCAGAGTCAAAGTGAGTTGGATTACGTCAGTTAAACTCTGATTATTGACCTGTTCGATCAATTAAGTCGCGTTGTCATTGGCCGTCTGCCAATTAAGCCGTAATGTTATTGGCTATGAAGACACTATGAAGACTACGGTGCGTTTCGATCCGTCTATTGTCACAGTTTAACAGTCGTTTATTGTTAGTCAAATTGTCGGTCGTCCAGTCATTCTCTGGTAACTTGTATGGTGCCGGTAAATGTTGACTACGATTTAGTGGGAATTGCTCTAAGTTTGTAAACCAGCCTTCTAAAAGGAGTCTTTGATAGTAGTATGTACAGTACGTAATACAAGTTGATTTGATATTTCGTCTGTAAATGGTGTTTAGCAATGTGATTGTCGACAACACCATTTTCTGTCGCTCGTTTGGTTTCAGCTGGTCGCGTGCTAAGGTGTCTGTCGGTCTTACCAATGTAAGTAGCCTGGCAGTTGTAGCTTTTTATCTTGTAAACTGCTCCCTGTGTGTCCTCCAGTTTAACTTTTGTCCTTGACGTTAGTAATTAGTTGTCGTAAAGTGGTTATCGGTTTGTGTACAACGCGTATGATGTGAAGTTGTAGTATATACGTGCAATAGTTTCAGAGGTGCCCCTATTTCACCCCCCTATTAGACCTTGGGCAAAAAAAAAAAATCTTTATTTTTCGGAAGCATTTGTTAGTGTTGTTCTTATGATTCCTTTCCCATAGCAAAGACTTAACCTACCATTCCCTTAGCAATCTGCCACGCAAAACTCATCATATCATCTGCGGAAAAAACGTGATCTTTATTGTCGATGTCACAAGTGCCTTCGTCGTGCTCTGTAGAGGCTTTCAGTGTGGTCCTTTTCTGGGATTCAGGAAACTGATCGTCTTTAAAGGTCGATGGTAATGACTGTACCCTCTTTTCGTTTTCTTTACCAGGTTTGGTTTCTGCAGATGTTACGTATACTTTCATGGCATCACCTTTGGACTTGACTTTCTCGTTTTCCGAACTTTCTATTTCCTTTTGCTTTTCAGTAGCATCCCTGTTCCTATCCTCTGTTTCTATAGTCAAGGTTATTCCATCGCTTCCCTTCGGTTCGTCATAGGACATGAGCTGATGGGATATTTCTGGGATATTTCTCGAGCTCTGTCCCAGCGATGTTGTCTCTTCTTTTTCCAAAGTTGAACACTGAGGTGGTATTTCAAGTAGGCGCTCAACATTGGTGTCAACATAGGTTTCCTTGGATTTGTGCAGATTTTCTAGTTCTTGCAGTTGCTTGGAGCCATTTTCCTCTTGTTTTTCATTTTTGACCTTTATCTCCCGACCATCCGTGTTTTTCTTCTGACTTTCTAAGACATCGGTATGGTCATTATTCTCCTTTGTAAGCTGCAAGTAGTTCAAAAATGATTTAGGTCTACAAATTAATATTCTATGTAGAATAGACTGGAGAAGCAATTTTACCCGGGTCAAAAGATCATTTTCTACACAGACGAAAGCCCAATAACCATACGACATAGCTACAGCTTAAGATATTTCTTTCTTTAGAAATAATATTTTCAATCTGATTTCAAACCAAGAAAATGATAAAGGGTAATAAAGTTGATTTCTTCTGTCTTTAGAAACGTGTCTGGTTTTATTGCGGTTGATTAGTCGCGTGTTTTAATTGATCCTTGTTAAGTTATTAATTTTTTTGTGTTTTTATAATCATACGTCAAGGTGCTCCCTTGGGTTCTTACTGTAGAGCTAATTTATATTCAACTTTGGGCGTGCGAACTCGCATAATTAACTGACTAACGGTACGTGAAACGCTGAGACTTTATCTATACCAAATTAGTATGCGGGAACGAATGTGAATATTAATGATTTACTTATACCTATACGTACACTTAAATCCGGTTAAGTTTCAACATAGTACACTATACTGTCTACTCTCCCTTGTATTTACCATTTTTTAACCCAAAGAGTCCTTATCATATTTCTGGTTGTATTATCAATGCTTCATAAATTAGTTAACAGGAATTGAAGACATGTTCAAAAAATTTGAATTGACTTTACATTTTGAGAAATGCTCCAGGCTATACATTTATAGGAAATGTAACGGGGCAACAAATAAGCTGATATATATTTTTATTACTGAGAAAATGGCAAAAAATCGATACATACAGTAACAAGCTTTATTTGCTGTCTTTTGTTTCTAAGCCACTTCAAAAGATCTCCGTGAGGAACATACTCCATGATCAACATGATAGGCTCCGATCGAATCCAAAAACCGAGTATGCTAAGAATGTTTCGATGCGATCCAACGTCCTTCATGAGGTCAATTTCCTGAAGAAACTGTCGTTTTTCCTCCTCTCCAGCATTTTCTAAGCAAAAACGGAAGTTAATGAACAAAAGAATATCAGTTAAAATCAGTCTAGAAAAACAATATCGAGAGGGTTTGTGAACTGCGTAACCATGCAAAGGAAGTGATGATGAAGGGCATATTTACTAAGCTCAAGTCTCAAGTAGAAGAGATCTTGTATCGCAGAGGAACAGGAAGACTCCAGTCCTGCATGGAGCTACAATCTTGGACAAAATAAATGGAAAACCTAGACCCCCCCTCCCCCCCAAATCAAGGATGGGAAAATGGCGCGTTTTTGCCCTTCGCGCGGCTTCATCCTTGATTGGGAGGCGCGGGGGGAGGGGGGTTGGGGGTTTGCTGTTCCATTTTATTTTGTCCAAGATTGTTGTCTGCTACACAGCCGTTTTTAGTGTCGTCACGCAACGCTCCTCCCCACTTAGACTAGTATGGAGCACCAGTTGAATAGATTTCTAACTTGAGAACAACAATACGCAAAAAATACAGTGGAAGCTCTCCACAACGGCCTCTTTGGCAACAAAAGAAGAAAATCCCTTTAAAGTTACACAAACTTTATTTACGTTAACAACGTGCTGGTCGAACATGATTTGTAAACATTCATCGAAAATGGCTTAGTAGCTCACCAAGAAGGACTTTAACAGCAACAATTCGTCCCTTATTGCCCGTCAATGTTCGCAGGCTGTCCTTGGAACGTACATTTGGATTTCTTTCACTGGTATCGGAATATGTATTTGCGTCTGTTACCTCCTTCATCACACCTTTATGAACCTTGCCAAAAGCCCCTCGACCAAGTTCCTCCATGAAGGTTACTCGCTCGTGTGGGACTTCCAGTGACATAAAATGAACAATTTCTTTCTTGGATCTAAATAGGAAACAGCCAATATTAGCAAAAAATTTTGTTTCGTACATGATCGAACTATGAAGAAACTGCGTAGGAAGAACGGGTTTTCTAACTACGTAAGCGGAGGAGCAGGGTGTTCCCTACAACCCCCCCCCCCCGATAAAAGTCTGTAATCACCATTACGGATGTATTTGACATTACCTGTGACATCACTGGACGATTTGCTACCTAAAAAGTATCATAAATCAGGACAGCCTAAACAAATGCCTGCTGATACATTGTCACAAATCGCCATCTTCACTGTGAAGATTACAAAGAGATTTCCCTGTGCTAACGAACAACGCGCTCAGCAGACCGGCGCTCTCCCAACTGCGGTAACAAGGCGGTGGTCAAATTCGGGCAGTGGCAGCCATGGACAGCTGTTTCGCCCTTACTGGGGTCTTTGTATAAAAGACCCTTTGATGAGCCCCCCACCCCCACGTTTCGAAAGGCTCCGCCACCTCTGTTGCTTAGACACATTACGGAAAATTCCATTTTTATGGAGACCAATAGAAGTGACTCGATTTCCTTGAGTACAATTTGACTTAGAGTTGAAACGGGGGTCCAGTGCGCATGTCTGTCTTCGTTCTAGCCCGAGCACGCTACGTACCTGCCGTCTGTCGAAAAATAAACTGCATTTAAGGCGAAAACAAGAAAAACAAACAAACAAACGAAAGAAACACACTGCACCTTCCTGTTAAGGTTACGGCATTTATAATTTAAAGGCCAGTTTATACGTAACGGTTTGTCTGCCCGGTTTTGTAACGAAAACATATGGTGAACAGGAAAGTTGGCCCGATTTTGTATTTAGATTTTTCGTCAATCGGAAAATACACCGCGCAAAAAAAAATACAACAAATCGGGAACTACTTTTCGAAGAAATTGTCGGATATGACGCGAGTGTCAGTGTTAGTGTCCAACTTTGTTAACATGCGTTGAGTAGACCCTCTTGACTTTTCAGTGCCATTTAAGCATACCGTTCTTCTCTTTTTTGCCTCCTTCGGTAGATCCCTACGAGAATTGCTGCCGCAAAAGTAGCAGTGATTCCAAGAGCTATTCCCAACGCTTTAATAGCGTCATCGTTAGCTGGAAAGACAGAAATAAATTAATGTAAAAGACAGAATTTATCCAGTTTACATGTACGTCATCCATAAGAGGATAGGTGTTATTGTCTCGGTTACGGGAGTTTGTTTTTGTATTTTTTTGCATTCTGAACTTTTTGCATATATCACTTTTAAAATGTATTTTTGTTTTCCCCATCTCACCTGCGGAAGTGGCCAAAAAAGGTCTGTTGTAAAAAAGACGGCTTCATAATTTGACTTGATTTTTCAAGTTTTAAATGATTTTTTCATATCAAGTAACTATGCCTTTGCCTTAGAATTTCGGGCTGTTTTCTCAGTTAGGGTAATGAAGCTTCTTTCTCGGAATTTTTGTGACTTCATTAGGTAGAGTCTCCTTATATTTAAAAAAAAATTGACGGAGATTATAAATAGGATAATAATCAGTTAGTTAGGACTTCTTCTGAAAAATAATGACCGTGCGCGTAGGGTAAGGTAGAAAATTTTCTTGTTCGCATGAACGCGACTTATATTAAACGCCGGTCATTATTGTGGCAATGACCTGCTCTTCCATTTACCCTGTTCAAGATAATAGAGAGATGAATTATAGGTACATCTAGGACAATTTTTCTTGCGGCCGGCATTTTCTGGTTTGTTTCTTATTTATGGCATCATACATGACCTGACGGCTCTGAACGGATTGTCCTAAGGGAAGTAGCCTTCCACGTAGACGGTGCTTTGAATGGTCACGCAACAACGCGTGACGAGGCCCTAAGAATGTCTTCTGAGGAGGAACGCCAGCGCGGCTTGGGTTAAGGCAATCTATAACTATTTTGTTCCCTTGCGGTACTTACAGTAGACGTTTTGTGTTTCCTGCTTTATCTTAGGTGAGTTAGTTTGAACTTGCCAAGGAGTAGACCAGTCGCTCTGGAGTTCTCCAATCCACGAAGACACTTCAATCTGATAGATTTTGTCGCAGTCAAGTGTCAATAGATGGTATAATTTCGCTGAAGTATGCTCTTGTACCCGGCGTTCTGCTCTGTAGCCCTGTGGATTTATCACCCTAAAGCGTATGGTGTTCTTCGTAGTGGCACACACGTCACGGCTCCATGTGAGGTTTACTGTGCAACCATTTATCTTGCTTTCCTTCTTGTTAATAACTGGAGTTTTCGGCGTGCCTTAGGTTCACAAAAATATATCGTCATCAGTTAATTATTTACTTGTGTGTTGGCTACAAGGGATTCGGTTTAATTCTTTTGTTTCTGATCAATTAAGATAAGAACACCAAAATATGGGGATCGTTTCGCGACTGTAGAGTTGTCACTCCAGCTGCCTTAATCAGCCCCGTTTACACATCCCGTCTAACAAGACGCTCACGTTCTTGACCAGCTCAAAATTATTTCCGTTTTTTCAGTGTAATCCGTATGCATTTTTAGATCACTAGGACAATCACATGACTTTTGGGGGGCATATAGTTTATTTGTGGCCCGAGTAGCATCATTTGCGCCCGAGCGGAGCGACATTTTTGCTGCCGTCGCGTAGTCCGATCGTCAAGTCCTTATATAAGAGCAAGACAACGAGGCATTACGATTTTGGCAGCGTCATGTTGTATCAAGAGCGAAAACGGCTCACTTCCGGTCGACGTGCATCACTCAAAAACTCATTTGGTTAAACTCCCTAACAACAACAGATTACCTTTGCCCAAGTCAGAAATCTGATTTGCAGACAAGGCAGTTTCGATTACATGAAGGTCCATCAGTGCCCCAACAAAAGGTTTATTTACCAATGGCAACTTGAACAGGACTGGATGATTTCCTAGGACATTTTCGGTCTCAGGATGGTCTGACGATAAGAAGAAGAACTCATTCCATGGTTCCTTCGTTAAAATTTCTGTTCCATTTATAAGCACCTTGATCTTAGACTCCTCACAGGTTATGGCTACATGATTCCATTCCCTGATTGCGAAGTTTGCTTTTGCTATAGTGTTATGTATAGACAAGATGACACTGGAATTCTTTATTGCCGCGTAAAATAGTTTTCCGCTCACAGACCAAATCGCTATTAAAGGTCCCTCTATATCACCGGATTTAATCCAAAAAGCAATTGTAAAGTCGCAGTTTGTAATGTTTACTTTGGGCACAGTGACAAAGGAGCCTTTTTGACTGAAAGACACAGCTTTACTTCCAAGGCACCAACCTTCAGTGTAGTTAACCGCACCAAAAAACCTACCAAATGAAAACTAGAGTAATTAATATTTTAACAGAGGCAGACCATCCAAACTGTTCAAGGCATTGTGATGTCACGCGTGACATGTGATCCCATACATTTACTGTATTTCATAAAGCCCGCGCTCGGCTTCATTCAAGTGATCGGTAGAATGCTTCACAAAACACAGAATTTTACACCTTTTGATCCCAGATGTTGATATAATGGGATCACAAGTCGCACGTGACATCACGATGCCTCGGACAGTTCGGATGGTTTGCCTCTGGTTTAAATCAATATGAAATATTAAGCTTAAAAGAAGCATACCACAAGAAATCTTTCAAAGTTTTTGGAAGCTACGAGAAAATATGGAGGGACTCTCCTTTGATGCAGAAAGTGACTTGTGAATATCTATCAAATGCATGGAGAACATTATCATGGATAAATCTTCTTTGATGAAAGGCGTTGACGATAACGATGATGATGACCATGAGTATCCTCATCGTTATTATTATTATCATCATCATCATCCTCATCCTCATCAAAATCATTATCTTCATATTTCTTTAATAGCTTATTTATATATTATACTAACCTTACATCTGAATCAGAACCATCTAGGAACCAGTGGCGATATTTTGGTGTCCCTAAGGAAAGACCAAATTTGCGTCAAAATGTATCTGAGATAAATGTGAACTGCTTGAGAGGGATGCTTTGAATACTGAGACCAATTCCGATGTATTAAAATTCATACTTGGCTGCGGAGCTTAGTGCCGAATAAAACAAGATGAATCATCTTTAGGTTCAGCAATGAATTATTCATTTCTTTTGTTTTATTCCCCCGAGCCCCAGAGCCAGGTATGAATTTTAATATATCGAAAGTGGTCTATTGAAAGCCATCTGTTAATTAATTACCTTTACATCCAAAGAGTTCTACCCTCATAGAGATGTGTTTATGCCAAGCGGTTGGTAGGAAACGGATGTACCGTGCTCTTATGAGTGGATTTAGTTTATGAGAAACAATGGTTTCTGGGTCTGTGTTGCCATCGAACACCTGAAAAATCCAGGTAGGACGCATAAGTGTTAAATTCAGTCAATAAATTCATTTCTTGCTGCATTCCTCAAAGGAAGCGGGTTGCGAGACATATTTTTACTCTGACCAAAAGTGCACATGAGCAAAATACATACGTATTTAAAGGTTGCTGGAGAAATGCTAAACTGCTTTTTTTTTCACTTTGGCGAAGAAGAGGCATCTCACCTTATCTTTACCTTGTCCTAGCTCTTTGTAAACATTGAACTTATTTCCATTGTCGCTGTACTGTAATGTGTAATGTGTGACCCACGTGCTGTCAGCATTTTCTCCTTGAGTAGCAATCTTTGCTACGAGGGTGCGCTCTTGACTGCCCAGATCTATCTGCAACCATTGCTTAACATCATTGGTATAAGGTGACCACGATCCTACTTTATTTGAAGTTCTTATAGCCTTTAGTCTGCCGTTGATGGCTGCATGCTCGGCATCAAGTTGAGAAGAAGCAATGACTTGCCCGTTGGAGATCTCTCCGTCTCCCATACCGAGAGCTTCTTCACATTCTATTGAATAGAAACAAACAACAACGGTTCTCGAACAGCACTTGTCTTTGACGGGGTAATCTGGCCGTAACATTAAACAGTGCACCTGGGTTTGATGAACGTAAAAGGTAATGGTGATAAAGATGATATGATCCTTAAGATTGTACCAATGCTTATCACCATGTTGTTGTTGTTGTTGTTGATGATGATGATGATGATGATGATAATTGTGGTAATGGTGGTGGTAGTGTTGGTTGTAGCGGTGGTGATAATTATTGTAAAACTTCAGATTATTTATATAATGATGACAATTAAAAACATGCTGCACAAACTTGGTATAAGGCGTCCGATTAATCTGTTGGAGGGTCATCTTGATTCACAAGCCCTAATCTGCAGAAGTCAATAGCTTTCGGGCTGGATTGACAGCAATCCAAAAAATTGCAAACAATGGCTTATGTTTAAAGCTACAATTGAGGGAGGAAGTGAAACTTAAAATATCAAGTTACAAACCATCACAAATGATGGTGTTGGCATCTTCACTCCATGATCCACCAATCCCGCAACGAGCAGATGAAGGACCGCTGACTTGATATCCACGGGCGCAGTAAAAAAAGCAAATCTTTCCATGTTGGTGAGTTGGTAAAAGACAATCAGAAGGTGAAACAAGCACATCATCCCGCAGTGAAGGTTTTCTGCACTTAGTTCCTTTTGAAAATATTTATACAGAGTGTAAAAGATAAGCAGAGCATAATCCATGTGCTTTTTACTAGGGGCTTATTTATTTTTGCTGGAAAAGTACTTTACAATGAATCTAAAATTACTTGATGATTGTGGAAACGCCGTGATTAGTGTATGAGTGGGTCGCTCCGGTTGAGGTTAATGGACCTTGCAATCAAGTACTAATTTTTCTGTCTTCTTTTCATTTCATATCTTTCGACAGGGTGGTACCCTTTTAAGATTCTTAACTGGCACCTCTATACAATACACACAAGCATAATCTGGAAAAAAATTCTAACTCTTCCAGAAACACGTGATGTTTTCTTGGAGTTGCTTACCTGCCGATATTGTGCAAAGGTACTGATGGTGATGACGACAGTCTCTATTTTTCAGTTTTCCCTTCGAATTTATCTCTACACAATCTCCCTCGCCCGTCAAACTATCCAATTGACTGCGTAATTCTTGACCGTAACTAGCTTGTGAACCATTGACCAAACCAACCCCACTTAAATTGTGACTGGGATTCCTGTTCCTGTGCAGACCAGTCCATGCGCTTTGTGTTAGAAATGAGCCAAGGGCATCTTGTTCAGCACGTGAATTCACTAGAGGAAGACTAGATTCAATTGCCTTACAGGCCGATTCTGCCGCGAACCAATCCAGTGCGTAAGAAAAGGCTCTGTAGCAAAAGCCGAGGATTTGAATCCAGTCCTGGGGGCAACCTGCTGAACCTGCGAAAGACAAATAGAGACTTTTAGATTCTAAGAGGAGTACGACTACGAGTACCAGATTTCCTCAATACTCAGTAGTGCGCGCGTGTGAACCAGCGTCATATTGGTTGTACAGTCGTCGTCATTCTACTACGAGTTAGCGAGTTAGCGGACAGAAGTGAGTTATTATATAGTGTTATCACAGGGTCCAGAGGAGATGTGTTTGTCGTTAGAACATTAAAACCCGTCGAAAACCTCTGAAAAAACTGGTTATTTTGATCGCGTTACGGTTTCGTTACACATTCTATAGACGGCAAACCAAGAGACTGAGGACTCGCAAGATCGGCTTACAGTATAAAATTCAGAAAGGGAGGAAACAAATTTGGGGCCGATTTTCGAATCCCTGAAACTCAAATGGAATTGAATGAAATCGCCTGATTTTACTAACCTGATCTAGAATTCTTATGTATTTGCCAAATACTGTAGGAAAACGGCATAAAAAAGCGTTCAAATTTATTTTCGGCGACCGAAATTTACGGCTTCGAGATAGCGCTTTCGTTCGCTGTGCACCGCAACAGATGATGACGGAAATGGCGTAGTAAAGTAAATGTGCTCAAGATCGGAGCAATAAAAGGGAAGCCTACACGACTTTTACCTCATGCAAAAATGCTGCTCGTTCCAATAAAGTTTTTTTCCTGTGCTTGGTAGTTTATGCTCCGGACGATTCTACATTTTCACTGAGCGGATGTGATTTTAGCCGCATGTTTTACACTGAGAGGTCATTGCACATATCGATTTACTGTTATTATTGTTTCTGGTCGGCAGGATTTGCCTCTGATACAAGCGCATTTTCTTTGACCTCTTTTGAAGCGTAAAGCTTTTTATTACGGCTGAATAAGTGTTCCAATTTTCTCCAAAGTGTCTTCTGGATCTGAATAACTAAGCGATTTTCTTTAGTCCGTGAATATAATGTTTTTCTGCAATGCTGTATCACGCTGGGCCCAGCTCGTTAGTTTTGTTTGGAGAATGTTGAATTATTACGGATAGTGATTTACGGGTCGTGTGTACTCTTGCAATAAAAAGTGACACTGAGTAGAGCGGACGCACAAGACAACTGTAATATCATCACGACTGTGCCATTCTTCGGTGGTCCAACTATATTGCCTCTTGCGTCTTTGGCTGTGCGTTTTGCGATTACTGGGAAGCCTTCGCACAAGCAAACCTGCCTAAGACATCGAAGACTGTTGACATGTACAACAAATGTCCAGTCTTGAAAGATCTTCACTTCAATTAAACTATGTTGCCTTCGCATAGATCTCTGAGATCTTTAAAACTCTCTCCGCAGCTGATGTTTTGATTCTCGAATTAGCAGCCGCGTCTGTTGCTTTTGCGTTTCCGGTCTCATTCACTTCCGTCACCGATTGATGCGGTTCACAGCGAACGAAGTCACGTGGTACAAGTTTCCTCCCTTGTCCTTACTTTTACTCGGCACTTCGTACCTCGGTCGCCCTTCGGGCGACGGCCTTCGGTCACCCTTCGGGATCGGGCCACGTGCCGTGCGCCAGCGAGGATATGGCTTGCGGTTATTGATTTTCAAAAGTCGATCTGGGTCAGATAAGAAGCGAAGAAATCGTTTACAGTAGATTTATAAAGATCCCATTGGGCTAATTAATCGTGCTAAGCGACAGGTATAGACAAGGTGAGACTGTAAATAAGTAATTCATTTATTCACACGAAATTCCTCTGGACCCTCTGGTGTCATAGGTTTTATTACTTTGCAGCTGGGAGCTTAACCTCTTTCGATAAAGATAACAGCGCTATTTTTTTTGGTGAAAGCGATGTAGAATGAAGCTATTCCCGGTATCTATTATTTGAGAATACGCGAAAAAACTTTAATTGAAATCTCGTACTCGTAGTTGTTCTCGCCCTACAATCTAAAGGTCTCTAGTATTTCTGAAATGAACGAATATTATCATAAGCAGAGGAATCAAAAGTTGTTGTCGCTGACTGCTGGTATTTTTGTCGCTAGAAAAAAAAAAGATTTTCGTTTTATTATAATACAAGAAGTCTACCGGGAAATACCCAGATTTATTGCGATCTTAGATAAACAATTTACAATTTACTTTACTTTTTGATTGTACTTATTATCATAGAAAGGGGAGCAGGAGTGGCGCAGTGGTGAGAGCACTCGCCTTCCACCAATGTGACCCGGGTTCGATTCCCGGACTCGACGTCATATGTGGGTTGAGTTTGTTGTTGGTTCTCTTCTCTGCTCCGAGAGGTTTTTCTCCGGGTACTCCGGTTTTCCCCTCTCCGCAAACACGAACATCTCTAAATTCCAATTCGATCCGGAATGCTCGAGCGTTTAATACATGAGCCCCGGGCTCGGGAGATTGGGCAACCACTCCTCACGCTATCGAGCTTAAATAAAATTAATTTAATTCTAATTTAAAGTTGTATTACCGTTGATTTCACAAACGTAATAATGAGATTTCCCACACCATTGGTCATTCCATTTTCCTATGTGAGGGTTCATTACAACACAATTTTCGTTGCCTCCGTCATTGTTCGGCTCTCCACTCAACCAGTAGCTATAAAATGCGCCAGTCCCATCAACCCATTGCCAGCGTGAACTGTTCCTGAGATCCCTCTGTAAACCAATCCACGTCTGCCCATTTGTTCTTTTAATGAGCTCTTGTATTTTAGCCAGTGAGTTCAGAATAACAAGACTTGATCCCAGTTCCTCGCAGGTTGCCTTTGCTGATTTCCAGTCCGATTCGTTGGAAGATATTTTGTAGCAAGAACCATAAAGGCTTGTCCATCCTACTGGACAAGGTGCTGAAACATATAGTCAAAGTAAAGCTTATTCAATAGTTAGCCTGAGAAAACAGCCAACATTTCGCGACCCCAGCACTGGTTTCTCCGTAAAATGACGTCTAATGGATGAGTCAAAAAAATTACATACGTGTACCCAGGTCTTGGTAGTGCTTCTAATTAGTTGTGCCTTAGACTGCGAGCAGTCTCTTATTCTTGGTTTGAGTCACAGCAGTAGGTCGAGAGCACACGTGAGTCTAGTTGTGCCGCGAAATGTTACTAATTAAAACCAATCAGAGGCACTACCTAGATCTTGCGATGGAATCAGTGTGAAATTTCCGCAGTCGTTCCTTACACTTCATTTCGCGGGGAAACCTGGGAGGTCGCAAAATGTCGGCTGTTTTCGCAGGTGTTTCCATACGTAGCCGTCCCCTTTTTAGAGCGCAATCTTAAAATAACACTGAAGTTTTTCCTTGACAATTATACTCGCCCACAAAGACAATTTGTCATTCTGTCATCTCGGTTCACTTTCATTGGACAAAAGATCAAAGCCGAATTTTCCCTTTGGTTATCATATTAATTCTCCTAACCTTTGTCTCTTGACTTTTTTTAATATATATATTCAAGGATGCCTTGTGCCTGTTCTGTGTTCATTCATAAATCGCTGATGACGTCAAAATGTAGTAAAAGCAAAAGAGGGGAAAACGAGCCCTGGACGAGTACTGATGTTTAGGCATCTCGGTCTCGATTTCACGCCTTTTTTAGTTGTTAACTGAAATAACCCCGCGTATAAATTTTCAAAACCGCTCACCATGTTGGAGAAACACGTTAAACAAGTTTCCCGTGATGTGTCTGTACTCTAATATAAATTTGCATGGTATTATTGATAGACGATTGTTATATTCACTTACCAGGCATATTTACATCGTCCGTAAAGAATATCTCAAATCCTTTTTTGTTAGGGTCAAAGTTCTCGTTTGAATGAAATGTTAACACCAGATAGTCTCGTGAAACAAAAATAACTTTTCCCGTTAAATTACCGCAGTAATGGCCGATGAGATGATTACCATCTGAAATGTTCAAGTAGTTAAACCTGCAAAGGAAACAATCAATATTTCACGAGTTAACATTAAACAAATTCATTCTCTCTGCTCCTTTACAGTGCAAATAAACATTAAGCCGCACATCTTTGTCCGAATGTATTGAGTGTGGTGTCGCACAAGGATCCAGTCTTGGATCTTTACTTTTTGCTTTCCATGTTGCACCTCTTTCAAGACGTAATCATCAAAACTTTATTTGCATGCGCTATGCTGACGAGCATCAAATTTTGTTTCTAGAAACCCTAACAACCCGAATGATGATGTGAGTGTGTTAATTATATCGGAGCATACTTTAGCCATGGAACACTATAAGAACATAGGCTCACGAGTAACCGCTACACTTCACTTCGAGATTTAGAAGGCAACCATCTTTTGGTGGAAGCTTCACGTTTGTAGGAACTAAAATTGACATTAAAATGACAGCTAAAAAATAAGTGTCATCATTGATAATAATTCGTGTCATTTAGTGCTATATTATACCAATGAAAATTGTAAAAAAAAATAGTTTCCCTCATTATGAGTTCAATAATACTAGGTTCTCTAACAGATTGAATGGAAAATAGGCTCTAACCTGCATTCTGGATCAATTGCCAGATCAAATATTTGAAATACAAGCTTTTGCAGCTTGCCATGTGGAACTGATATATTGTAGACGCAGTGCATATTTGGTGGGTAACTTTGTACGTATACAGGGGATCTCACTATATTATTCATCGCTGAACCGCATAGGTCTGTTGGAGAAAGTGAGAGATCATCGGAACGTCTTTTGCATTGCTGTAGTTGCGTTTGGATTATTATTTTTTCTGCCACAGAGTGCAGAGGAGTTATTTTATGACCTTGATTGTTGATTGTAGTGAAATTTTACAGTTTTTAGCGCGCGTCTCCTTTTACTTATACTGTTAAATCAAGTAGAACGTCGTTTTGACCTGGTAAAGTATTATCCAATGTTCCAGAATACCGCTGAAGCTAATGACTGAGAACGAATAAAACCAGCTAAGTTTTTCTTCTCGGCAATTCTTGCCTCCCTCGAAGGCTTCGCTTTTTAAATACGTTGTCCTTTGGGCGACGTTCCTTTCCACCAAGCACTGGATAATATTTTACCAAGTTTGTAACGCCAGCGCATGACGTTTTCATTGGTTAAATTCATATTCGATTCTTCAGTAAGCAAAGGCGGATCGTGCTTAGTATCAACTGTAAAATTTAACTGCAATTAAGTTCAAAAATAACTCCTTCGCGGCCCGTGTTTCAATCGCTACCTAACATCTGTCATGCAGGATACACAAACTGTTTGGCTACTCCACTGGCTCAAAGTATGGCAACAGTTTTAGCCCTCGAACTTAGAGCAAATCCATACACCCATCGTAGTGTGCGTGTTTGTTAGGGTAAGTTGGGGAAGGGCATTTGTTAGGATTTCGACGTGTTTTGACATTTTGCAACTCGCGTAAACTTTTAACAGTAAGCAGTTGCGACAATCTCTACAAAACGGCATACGTGATGTGTAAAATATCGCCGCTGAGGATCTAATACTTCATTTTAAATAATAGCCATCAGTTTAGATGGCGTCCAGACTTTGCTTGTCCAGTAAAATCGAAGGGCCTCTGCTTGCGTGCAGAGTAGATTAAAATTGAGGATTATTTCCCATACAATTGAATTACGCTTTGGTCGCTCTGCACTTACCACTTCGTGGCATTTCACTGAAATGCAAACTGAATCCACGCTTTTCTCTCTTAACGTTTTTCGAGTGGAATTCAATCAATGTGTAATCCCCGGCAACCGTCACTGCCAAATTGGTGTTTAAATTATCGCAGTATCTGCCAATCAGAACGTTGCGTTGGTGGTAAATGCTCAAATAGTCCCTCCTACAAGAAAATTAAGTGTCCAAGCCTGTTTATCTTCCAAATAATAAAGAAGCCGTTCCTTAAACACTGACGAAGAAGTTTTATAGTGGGTACATTAAAACAGTAAAAACACCTTGGTTCTTCTAGAAAAAGAATCAATGCGTTATGGTTAATTGGTTGTGACAATAAAACTCTGGGAAATGTTCAAGCTAGAATAGAAGCTGTTTTCAGCAAACTGTTTCAACTAAACTGTCCGAAGAAACAGTTTTTTTAGAAGCAGAATAAAAAGCGTGCTTGAATATTTGCTTAAAGGTAAATGGTAATGAAAATTCACGCCCCTCTTGGCGGACGGGTGTGTTCTAAATTCAACCTCGTTTCCAGGGTCCTCTCCGCCACGGGGGCCGAGTAGGAGAGGACCCTGGGAACGGAGTTGTTCTAAATTAATAACCCCAGCTCGCAGGTGTCGTTCTCTCTTTACCTAATATTTAACTGTTTATCTTTTTTGTTTTCGAAATGAAGGTCTCAGGAAGATGTCATAACATATTTGTTTATTATTTATAAACTTTGCCAAGAGCCCTGGATTACTCACAGAGCAAACTCCACTACAATACATTATAAATAAATTTTGGATTCTTTCATAAATTAAACATCATTTCATAAATTATGCGTACATATGCAGGTAAGTAAAACGAAATGTATATTTCTGTGGAGTATTATCACATGACCCAAAAGATCCAAGCCTTAGAGCTGTCATTGTCAAATCAGTCAAATGAACAAAAGAACTGCGCGCTTCACCCCAATGGGACTTTGAAAAATGCTAGCTAAGGGGAAGTGCCCGTTGGCAGAAGTTCAGCTCTGTAGCACTGATTTCAGGTGGATGTGATTCAAGGACCCAACTCTACTTCATAATTTTCAGAAAACATTTAAATCGCCTACCAACAATCCCACCAAGGTTCTATGTCGAGTAATGCAAAGGTCACTTTCAAAATTTTTCCTTTCGGAATTTCCCAAGTCCAACTACAGTCCATGTTTTCTGGATAGTAGTTCGGATATCCTACGCTTGAAAGTGTAGTACTGTTTACCACTGAACCGCATGCTGCCGAATTAAATGCACAATTTTTAATCATATTGCCTTTCTTAGTAATAATCACTAGTCGAATTAAAACATCAGCATCTTAATTATGAGATCATATCTTACAGTCCTCTTATAGTTTGTCTTGGTTTGAACGAATCGAGAACCTTTTTACTTCCGGTTTGGGGTCATTGTCGGTGTAAAAACCTGTGACATTTTTCTTTGTTTTCTAGCTGCGGAAATGAATACTGTTGAAACTAAACCGGCATCTGCTATTTTGCTTATGAGAGTTGTCTCTAAAAGGCCTGTATTGCATTCACAGTTACATAAATTTGGTAAAATAATAGTCAAGTGTAACATTATGATTCAGTTAAAACAGAAAAAGAACTTATTTTCGCTAGGGAAGATGCAAATTTTAATAACATGGCTGTTGAAACGGTTGTCATAGTAACTTCATAGATGACTCACATGTCAAGATAACTTTGAATAGGGTTAAGGGATCAAAATTATCGTTGCCATTGCTGTAGGTATCAGATTTACAGTTTTGCTTGGGATTTTTACGCTTTGATCGTATAATATTAAAAAATTGTATTACCGTTGCTTTCACAAACGTAAGAATGAAACCTCCAACACCCTTGGTCATTCCATTTTCCTACGTGAGGGTTCATTACTACACAATCTTCTTTACTATTGTAATTGTTTGGCTCTCCACTCCACCAGTAGCTATAGAAAGCGCGAGACCCGTCAACCCATTGCCAGCTTGAATTGTCCGCGAGATCACGACTTAAGCCAATCCACGTCTGGCTGTTTGTTCTTTTGATGAGCTCTTGTATTTTAGCCGACGAGTTCAGTATAACAAGCCTTGATCCTAGGTCTTTACAGGCGGACTGTGCGTTGTACCTCTTCAGTTTGTTGGAAGATATTTTGTAGCAAGAACCATAAAGGCTGAGTATCCAGCCTACCGGACAAGGCGCTGAAATATACAATCAAAGTACCAATTCAATACCTTATTCTTACAATGTACTAATTTTCGCGAGTATTAAATTTCGCGATTTAAATAATTCGCGAAATTTAATACGCGCAAACAAAAGATTGCACTAAATTTAAACACGCGAAATTTAATACCATTTTCGAAAACAAAGCAGTAGGAATTTTTAAAATGTCCTGAGTCCGGGTGTTTTTTTAACTGTGCGCACTTACTGAACATCTCAAGTTGCGATTCAAGCACTAAACTGTATGATATACATTGCATAGACAACATACACAGCAAGCAGTTATGTTTTGTCTTGTTCATAAGTTTTTATATGGGGCAGTTTTAAGTGTACAATCTTGCTTTGAAATATATATGTTTTATTGATTTGTCATAAGTGCCCTCTGCTCAGGATTGACGAAAATAAAAGCAAAGACAAAATTGTGAAATTAAGTACGCTTTTTCTCTAATTTGTTTTTGCAATCGTGAAAATTAGTAGTCGAAAAATACGGATCCCGAATATTCGCGCAATTAAGTACACGCGAAAATTAGTAAGAATAAGGTAGGTAGCCTGAGAAAATGGTCGACTTACAACACCAATGGTTTCCCTGCGAAAGGACGTCTGAGGACCGACTGTGGAAATTCCACTATACTGGTGACGTGTCACTTAGCAGAACAGGGTAGTGCTTCTCATTGGCTGAGGCAAATTTCGTTTGTGACAACCTATCATAAAGCACTACCCAGCTCTGGGTAGTGACAGGTACTTGTAAACAGTGTCGAGTTTCTGCAGACGTCATTTAGCTGGAAAACCAGTGGTGAATCATGAAATGTCGGCTGTTTCCTCACGTAGCCGGTCCTTTTTTCGTGATAAATCTCAAAATAAAACTGAACCTTTTCAGTCGTTTCCTTGACCATTATACTTTCAGACAAGAAATATTCAGGGAAATTCCGCGAACACATTCTACACTCTGAACTCTGTTCGTTTTCATTTGTGATAAAAGATCAAAGCTGAATTTTCCCTTTTTTGTTCATATTAAGGTGACTCGACCCAGTACCATAAAGAGATGAATCTCATAGTTTATTAGATATAATCCGTGTAAAGTTTGCTTATCATTTTCGCATAAATTATGACCTAATTTTGGAAATCGCTGAATTTCTCGAATTGGGTCTTTGCGATTTTGGTGAAACTCTGTTCAGCGCAAGGCACTAATGCGCACTATGTGTAGCCGAGAGACTTTCACGAAAAAATGCCGGCAACAGCAGATTTTCGACTCAGACCTCAAAGGGGCGTGGCATTATAACCACGTGACATTTACTCCGATGGCCAAAAATTTTATGTTATATTGTAGATTGATCTATATGTTATCCATTCTATGTGTAAGACTCACGGTAAAAGTAAAGGTGGGGATACCAGAGAGCTTCAAAGTAGGATGGTACCCCCTAAAAAAAACTGGGTCGAGTCACCTCAATTCTCGCAACCTTTCTCTTGACTGTTTATTGATACAGTATGGATGTAATATAGTTGATTTTTGTATTCACTTACCAGGCGTGTTAACATCTCCCGCAAAAAATATTTCAAACCCTCTTTTGTCAGGATCAAATATCCCATCTGAGTGAAATGTCAAAACAAGATAGTCCAGTGAAACAAAAATAACTTCTCCAGTTAAGCTACCGCAGTATCGTCCAATAAAATTATTACCATCTGATATGTTCACGTAGTCGAATCTGCAAAGGAAATGTTCAACATTTACGGGTTGACAATAAACAAATCCAAATTAATCTAATCCAAATTAAGGCTTCTGTTCAGAATACTGGCGGTGGTTTTTCCACTTAAAAAACGACGACTGTTAAATTTCCTGAACTTAGCGTTTTCAGGGGAACGATTGGCATCATAAGCCACCTTTCCTGACACCAAAAAAAGCTTACGTTTTCGCAAATGATCATTACATTCCCCGTCTTTTTTCTTTATTTATTTCATTATTGATTTATTGGTTCATTCGTTCGTATATATAGACAAACATCTTCTATGCCGAGATAGTCAAGTTTATTCATTTATTAACCTTAAACACTCGAATAATGATGTTCATGTTACCCTCAAGCTTCAGCAATGTGCATTGCTCTGCACACCAATGAAATATGTACTAAAGCTATTCTGCTGATGACATCAATCCGAAGCATGTGAAAATTATTTTCTTTCGTATAACGGACTTAAAATGTCATATCTCGATCAAAACGTCTTTTGTATGGCATACCTAAATGGGATACTTAAAAACGCTAGCTTCATTTGAGAAGAGGATTGAATTGAAGATTTTCCTAGAAGAGAAGACTGCAGACTAAAGTCTCAAGTTAAGTACTCTGTCGCCAAAAGAGCTACACCTGAGAACTAGAGATAGTACTCTCACCTGCATTCTGGATCAATTGCCAGGTCAAATATCTGAAATACAAGCTTTTGCACCTTGGCATGTGGAAGTGATATATTATAGACGCAGTTCATATTTGGTGGATAACTTTGAACATATACAGGGGATCTCAGTATATTATCCATGGCTGAACCACATAGCTCTGCCAAAGAAATTAAAAGATAATCTAAAAGTGTATGTTTATTTCTCTTCTATTGTAAGTGCGTACATTTTTAATTATTTGCTCATATATTCTTACAAATATAGCAACCTTTATTTTTGTAAGAAAAAAGAGCAAGACAAAACAAACAACAACTTTAACCAAAAAAAAATTAAAATAAGCTTGAATTGCTTTTTTCGTTAAAGTCGAAAAGGGAAGGTGCCAGTTTCAACAAACGTTTTTAAACTTCCGGTTAAAAGTTTCAGCATCCGGCATGCCTTGTGACCTCACGCCTATCCTGGCCTCCATCTTGACTTGACTTGCTACTTGTTTTTTCCTCTCTGCAGTCCCTTCCCATTGGGTCACCGGGAATGCCATCTTTTTTTTTTATTTGTTCAACTTTTTTTAGCATTGAAGTCTTCTATTTATTCCTTTGTACAAAAGAACCGTCCGATCTCTCAGAGACCTTTTAAAAAACTACTTAACGTCGTTGTTTCGTTCTAGCGCTATTGCCCTAGTGTTACTTGAAAAAAATTTAGCTATTTATTGTTTTAAAAGCACAGATGATTTATATCTGATACTTAAAGTGTGAAATATACATTATTGTTACAAGCATCTCAAATAAAACTTATTACGTTACGTTTAACTGAACTCTTTGTCATTGTCTGACTTATCTTTTGGACTGGTAACTACATTAAACATTAGCGGGACATGTATCGCTGTATCACCATGTAACACTTCATACCCAAAGTTGTCTTGTTATTTTGTTCTACTCTGGTTTCCTTATGGTTAACTCCATTATGATTAAGCTTACTATGAAGTCTGCTAATATCAGACGTCGTCCCTTATTTAGATGAAGCTATGCAGTGAGCCACTGATGCAGTCATAGACTGCCACTTTTTTTCCAAAATAGCACTCGTAGGGAATGTAGTTGCCATCGGAATACCTTCCTTTTATATACCATTTTTCGCGAAAAAGTACCCCTTCCGTGTACCTTCTTTTAATAGTACCCTTTTCACATACCGTGTAACTTTGCATCCGCTTTAACTACTGCTTTAAATGCACTGTCTTTTAAAAAGGAATCAATCACAAAGGCTGAACGTTCTCTCTTCTTTATAAAGCAATAAAATTCATCTGTTAGCCCTTTAGGGCCCCCTTCACAGACCCAAATGACAAATTTCTCTACCGTTTTAAATACTTCAACTAGTGAAATCCCGACCCTTTCAAAAAGATACCCCTTTCGGGCGGAGCCCCCCTACTTCCATTAGGAGAGAAATTTCACTTGTCAAGACCTCACGAAACTATTCACTTCGAGAATAGAGATCAGAAGTCGTTTACGTCATGTTGCCATGGTAGCAAAATTTTGGATGACAACAAACCGATGAAATCACTTAAAAGTCCATAAACACTATTTCAAACTTCACCGATCTTATTCAATTTCACTTAAGGTGATTCCCTGGTTTTGCACTGCGCATCTCTTACTGCGCATAACAAAATGGCCGCCGTAAAAAAGAGCATGTGAAGTAACATTATTAAAATGAAGTTGACTGAAGAGAAACGCTCTTGGAATTTTTGCTTGCGGTTGTTTCTTGCCGAGGTGAGACTCAGTGTGTTGGGAATGTGCATAACGTAAGCACTACGCTTGTTGCTGAGTTCGACTTCCTCACGGCCCGGAGAACTTCCATAGTGGATGTTTAAATTGTACTTACTCACTTTGATTTTCATTTAAACGCTTTCTTTATCACATTGTGTCCTAAATGTGATACCTCGTTGTAAATTTTGTGAAAACGGATTTTTTTAATGCTTTCTTCAACCTTTCACATACATTCTATTTTGAAACTCGCCCCAGTCCTCTCTCAAAAATCGGAGAAAATGCGTTTGGTGCGCACTTTCTGCAGCTCTACCGCAAAAACGAGTAAGGTGACCCCAATTTTTTATTTCATGATTTTAATAGGGACAGTGGGTCCTTTCGATGAGAAAAAAATTGGCACAAATCTATGTTCAGTTTTTTGGCAATTTTACTAAATTGTACGGATTGAGCTATCACGGGTCGAATAGTGCGTGTCCAATTCAATTCTACTTTGGAGCGTAAGGTAAAAACAGGAGAATTAAAAGGCATTTTTCTGGTATGTAAGTGGA